TAATAAATTGTGGCTATATATTTTTTAATTGTTGTAAAGAAACTTATGAGGGATATTCTATTAAATTTTTAAGCTTCTTTAATTTAAAAACAAATATTTCAGGTTAGTGTATTCTTTAATTTTTTTATTGCTCTGTTTAAAATCATAAATGGTTTTAGTGTGATAATATTATTTATTTGACCATTTAGAACTATATTACAATAAAAATTAATAGTTATTTGCATTAAATGTCTGTACAACTAATGAATAAGCAATTATCGATAGTCTTAAAAATACTATGAACTTTGTTTACTTAAGATAAGATGTAATTGAATTTAAAAATATTGATTATTTATTATTGTAAACATTATTTCTATTCATGATAGAAACGGAAAATATAATTGTTAATAGTATATAGGTGTAAAAGTCAATAATGTGGTAAAATATCAGTGACAAATTTTTATAATAATATTGCAGGTGTCTACCTAATACCTATATTTCACCAACATTGTATTTCTATGGTACCTAATTAATACCGATGTTTTACATATCATAATATTGACTATAGTTTATACATAAATAATACAAGGTATATCTGAATACTTGTATTTAGTTATGTTTTCAATATTAATTAGTAAATATCAGTTATAATATATTTCCATCATTAAATTTAGAAAAAATAGCATAAAGAATAATATAAATTTTTAAAAAATTAACCTTGGGTCTGCTTTTGTGGTCTAGCCTTTGCACCTTTCATAAAAATAAAATAAACGTATAGATAATTTTGCGTGGAACAACATTTATGTATAGACAATTTCATTTGTAATTATAATATTTTTTAAGAATTTTGAAAAAATAAATTTTGGGGTTTTTCATTACTTCTTAAAAGTGGAGGGTTGGATTTTTAACATGATTTATTAGGGAATCATTCTAATAATTTTCCAAAAAGTCAGTCTTGCTTATAACCTTAATTTTCTTAGTTAACACCGTTTTTGGTTTATCACACTTATATTATTAATTATATAATTAAAAAATAAAATAAAATATCGCTATAAAATAAAATGTATAGTTATTTTTGGTCTTTCAATTTTAAAAGTTAGTATACATTTGTAAAGTAAGGTATTAATGATTTAATATAATATAGTTATTGTAATGAATGTATGTGACTACATCGGTTGAACTGTTACTATTTACAAGTTACATTTTATAACAAAATGTTTAAGGCCTAAATGTATCCAATAGAATTTTTATTACTTTTTTAAATTGTTTAAAAATACAATTTGTTTTTTCTATTAGATGTAATTGAAAAAAAAACCAATAAACTGCAGTTGTTTATTGAGAATTGCTCAATTGTATATAAATAAAATTCAAATTTAATACAATAAAAATCATTTGGCTGAGATTTTTTTTTTTAATTCTGATAATTTATCTAACTTTTTTTAAGTGATACAATGATAACATTTATTTTGATTAAACTTATACTATTTTATGTTTATACCTATTATTTATGCTATGAATAAACTTTTTTATGAATTCATATCAAATACATAGGGCCTAGTACTTACTGCATAATAGTAGTTAAAACACTAATTTATACAGCTAAATTTTACTAAAACAAACTGGTATTCATTATACTTATGAGTTATGAGTTATCTATAAACCTTGTACATTTTCAAGTAGCTCTTTATAAAAATAATTGGTTTTTCAATTAGATTGTACGAAAAATTAAAGAGGTAGGTTTTATCAAGGTAATACGAGGAGCGATATTGTTCGTTAACATTAATTTTACCTACTATTTCTGCATAGTCGATTGTTTGCTTTAAATCTAAATGGAGGGTCACGTTAGTTCATGTTTAGACGTTATTTGATTCGGTAGTTCGGTGAAGTTTGGTTTCCTAGAAGATTTTTTTTACCACACGGGATATTTTATTTGGAATAATCATGTTACCCACAGAAGAGATTACTTCATCAATAAACGGGAATGACATTTTAAAATTAGTGGCTTCTGTCGATCTTAAAGCAGTAAGGATTTAAACTTCAATTTTGAACAAACATTAAACTTTATTAAAAAAAATCAAAGTTTAAATTAGCTTATAATTGTATTTCTTATTTATTTTGTTTAAAAGTTATGCTTGTCTATGGTTTATAAATAGACAAATTAAAAACTATTGAATATCATTCTGTAAAATTTTGTCAGAGACTGGTATTTACTAATATTTATTTAGGAAATACAATTATTAGCTTAAGTGTTTAGCTTGGCTTATGCATGTATTAAAAATTTAGGGCTCAGGAATATGTGCATTAAAAACATATGAATATGCATGCATCTGTGTACTTATAATTATCGAAATATGTTTTAAAAATAAGAAAAAAAAATAAAAAAAGTAATAATTTTTGAAACTAGTCAAATTTAAAAAAATTTATAATTTATTAAATAATTGAAAATTATTAAAAATAGAAGCTATAATTAAATTAACTATATTGGATAGCACAGTTTGTTATCAGTTGTTTACTCATCCAAAAATAATGTATGAAAAAAATATCAATTAATTAAATATTTAGTAAATAGTAGAATTTTTTTATGGGTAACCTGAAGAATTATATTTTATAAGTAAAAACTTGGATACATTTTCAAAATAAAATACAGAACGGTTTACATTAAATATGTTTTTGAATGAGAAAAACTTTGTTTTAACACGAAGAAGATAATGGAGTGATTATACCTAAAGTATATCAAGTCACTGTTCGATAAGTCTTCTAGTATTTTGTTTGTCGTAGTCTCTTCTTCAGATATAATGTTAAATATATTTGATATGTAATTGCCAAAATCCATAATTTTTTCAATGATTTGTTTAAATTTATTGTATACCTTAACATCTTTTGCACAAGTTAAATTTATACATTTATTTTTAATAATTTTGATTGAATGAGTTAATAGAAGTCCTTAGTCATTATATTTCTAAGCTCATTGTGGTTGACATTAAAATTACATATTTTGAATAAATAAATACAAATTTGTCTTTTAAAATGTTTTGATAAATTTTTCTTAATGGTTCAATGTGAGTAAAAATAAATTATTTTTATATTTTTGGTTTGATAATAATATTAACTTTATACTATTTTTGTCCAATATAAGCATTATAATCATGTCAACATATCTGTAATAATTATAAATGTATTAAATATACAAAAATATGCAAAATCAAATTTCACTCACTAACTTATTAGGTTTAGATTTGAATTTGTGTCTTATCTAGCTATTTATTCTTCACTAATCAATAGAAATATGCAAATAAATACCAGGCCCTAAATATAACATATTAGTAAATATTATTTACCTGATCAAAGCTAATTATATAATGCGTGTATGTAATTCAAAAATGAACATTTATATTATAAAAGCGTTAAGCATACATACAATTATTTGAGTATTACGTAATTATCTAGGTACATACTATACATTCCATAGATATTTAATAGATACATTTACAAATCAAATACATAGGTTAATAATATTATAGCTTTCGAATATTTGGGTTCTTCACATAAATAGTAAAAAAACTTATTTTTACAATGTTGAATAAATTATGATCTCAATCATGATGTATTCAATCTTTTAAAATTATAACTGTTGTATTTCAATTACAATTAAATTAAACTTATCATCAGGTATACTATATATACAAATATATTTATTATCAATAACCAATTCATATTAACTAAAAGTAATTATACATGGTATGATAACGGAATTGTATAGTAGGTACTGTAATTATTAACTATAATTAGACACATTGAATGCTTATCGCTATTTTATTATATGCCTTTTTTGGTCTCAGAAGTCAAAATTTATAGTCGATAGTTGAATATAGAGAAAAATTTTTTTTTGTTAGTTCATGTAGGTCCAATAAAAATGCATCTTATGCCTTAAAATTTGTGCTTGAAACACATGCCTTGCTATTATCTAGCAATTTGATAAGACAATGACTTATTATTTTATATACTTATTGGTATTTTTTAAAAAACACACTTACACACTATACATGCACAATAAGAATTTATTTGTATTATCTATGTAATCCACTTAGTAATATAGATGTAGATTTATATACTTAAAATATTTTGATTTAATACCATAATTTTCACGGTAGATATTAATAACAAGTGTTAATACAAATTTAGATAAGAATTTCTTTAAGATTTGAAGTTAAAAATTATATATTGGTAGACGATAAAAATTTATTTTAAGTTATACAAATATAAAAATTCATAAATTTTTTTGCATACTGTTTATATTTTATTATAATTATGTACCTCCATTAGAATATTTTATAAGTTGTATATATTTATGTTTTTATACAAATACCTAATAATTTACCACTGATTATATTATGTGTATTTAATTACCTATATCTAGTATATTAAAGTATACACTTTTGGAATCATTATACCTACATAGCTTATTTTAATTTATAACTAAAAATGTATTATATTATAGGAATTTAACAACGTTATTTTTAAATTCATTTATCTATTTATCTTCTTCTTCTACCTTTTCAAATGTTTCTATAAAGCCAATTATCAGTGTTATAGATTATATAATAGTTTAACCATTAGAAATAAAATCCATTTTTAAGATTATTCGTGATCCATCTATAAAATAGCGTTATCGATGAATATTGATATATTTAATTTTTACTGTTCATTAAGTATTGTATTTATTTTAATCTGAACTTAATCCATGCATATTAATAAATTATATAGTATGAAACTAATGTGGTTGTTGTATAATATAACTACGATTATATTTAATTATAATTTTATTGTAGGTTTATAAATACCTATAGGTGTTTAACCTATAAGCTTTAACTGTTAATACAATAATTATTTTAATGTTTTTTAAACTAAAAATGTATAGTAATTGAATAATTGTATGCAGTGTAAATATGCGATTGCATTATAATCAAATGTATAGAATTTAAATAGCTAATTATTATCTGCTTATTTGTTTAATTTTATAGAGTGATCTTTCTGAGAAAAGTGACAAAGTATCCGTACAACCGAGATCAGCTGAATCTGCAGACGACGAGACTTTGTCGCTTTTAATGATTGAGAGCGGTAATATGGCTAAAGAGAAATGGACGTCGGATTGTGTTAATATTCAGTCAAATGGTAAAAACGAACAGATAAAAAGAAATGCCGAACATAGACTTAGCATATTGTCTATAGTATATAATCCAACTGCACATCCGACATCGTAAGTGCTATTAACTTTACTATAAAACGTTTCTTGATAAAATTATAATTAATTTAAATAAACATTGAAAAATTTTGTAGTTATTTAGATACGCTGATAAATATGTTGAAAGGAAACGTTGGATGTGGAATTTTAGCTATGGGAGATGCATTTAAAAATGGAGGATTACTTTTGTCACCGGTTTTAACATGTTTTATTGGAATTATTTGTGTTTACAATCAACATGTATTAGTAAGAAACTATTATAAAATTATTTCATTCAACATAAGTATTTCAGTAGTAACTACTGTAGCAAATATTAGCGACTTAAATATAAGACAAATTTTTTTTTAGTCTACTAGCGAGAGATACTCTTTTGAATAATTTTTAAGATATATTGCAGATGATAATGATTTATATTTCTACCAATATAGCTATAATTTATGAGCCACCAATTTGAATAAAATTTTAAAATAAATAATCAAGTACTATTATTAAAACTAAATAAAGATTAGATAAACAAAGGAGAGCTGTTTTTAGTAATCTTTTTTATATAAGTTAATTTTTTAAGCTAATAACAAATTAGATTACAAAATTAAAAATAATAAATAAAAAAATTAAACAATTATAGTTATATTAAAGTAAATAATACGCAACTGTAACGTAAACTTATTATTTTAAAATAATTATTATATAATATTATAAGTGCATAATTACATTATTTACTTTTTTTTTTTTTGAAAATCCGGCGATCTAAATCATTTTTAAAATTTATTCGTAAAATATAATGTATTTTAAATCTTTAATGAGTACGTAATTATTCATGGTATTTATTAATTAATATATTACATAATAGTATTGTTCATATAATACTTAAACTTGTAGTTAATCCATTTAACAAAAACATTTATTACCTACTTCAAAAATTATGAAGTTTTAGAAAATATATTTTACATTTTAAACCATTAAATTTAAAAAGCTTAAAAAATTATAACGGTAAAAATAACAATTTAAAATTATCTAAAATAAATATTTTCAAAATATTAAGTGTTATTTGATAATAATAAGTGCTACGTTAAAAAATGGATCACCTGTACATAAATTAAATATTATAAATAAAAGTTTTTTAAAAATGTTTAGACAATCTACCTATAACATAAAAAATTAATGTGATCATTGTTTTGTTCTTTGTAAAAATCTTAACTAGTTGGAATTGTTTTCTCCCAAAATTAATCTTTTGATTTTCATCTTAATGTTCTTTTTATCTAAACTTCAAAAAGAGGGATTTGGTTTACGCTCATAGAAATATTATTTATTATTAATGAAAAAAATATTTTTTGTTATTGGAAATATTATTTAAATTTTTAGTTGATGAATATTAATGTCAATATTTAAGTGTAAAACATAGAAGAGTGATAGTTTAAGTATAATATAAATTTAAATATAAAGATAGATTTTGGGTGAAAACAAATACCTATGTCCTTAAAAATTACTGTTTTACATTATACTCGAAGGCATTTTTTTTTTTTTTTTTTGAGATATGAAGTAAAACTAATAATAATTGATTTGATATAATATAATTTTATAAATAACTGGCCACTAAAATATTAATGAAAATTAGTATAATTTAATTTTTAAAATCCTATTTGATAAAATTAATAATTTATTAAAATTTCTCATTTTTACTTGTGTTACCTATGTCAAATTATTAATGTTTATTTAGTTTATTATAAATAAGACTATTTTATAACGCAAGAGGTAATGGGTTATCGGTTCGATAAAATAATACACTCCTTAATAATTCGCAACCTTATAGAACTTCCTGGTTTCTTTTTAAATTTCAAAGAACTAACAAATGTTGTAAAATATTTTAAAATGTAATTTTTAAATATAATATATTGTATGTGTATAGTAGGTATAACGTAGTTGTATTGATGGTATGTTTTATAATTTATAGTTCATAAATACTAAACACTTCCTTTAATTTAATATAGTAAATACTCGTATAATAAATGTATATACAATGATATGAACAAAGTATTTTTCTTACAAAGAAAAAATGGTTCAGGAAGATGTCATTGGTATGTCAAAATAAATATTAAATTGGGAAACAATTAATGTTAAATTAACATTAATTAAAATGATTCTAAATAAAACTTAAGGTCATTTGAATATTTATACGTTTATGTAATATTAGGTGCTTATTAAATTAACTTTTTACTACATTTTTTTAATCTTAGATTATTTTATTATTAGGTACCCTGTTTCCTAATTAGTGATGAATACGAATGTTTTCTTTGATTTTGGTTTAGTTGCCAATCAGTTTGGTTATTTATTGTTTATAAATTACACAATAAATATAATAATATGAATCTCTAATAACGTTCTGGTAGGTTCTTTATAGTTACTATTTAAATTTCTTCTAAATAATAATTGAAAAAAAAAATTATCAATGACAAATTTATAACGTAGTGTTCATAGTTTTTTCAAAAACATATTTTGAATATATAGATTTTGCGCTATTTACGACATTTTAGGACAATATTTTAATATTTCAATATATATAATTGTTTTTACTTGTTTAAACTTGAAAGAAAATATTTATCATTTATAGATTGATAAGTTGATTTAGCAAACATGTTCGACCACCTTATTATTAATTAATAATTCATTTATTCATACCTATTTTAATTTACGGAATTATAAAGTATATTTAAAAACCATGCTTTCTTATACATTAATTTTTTAATAATATTTATCTGTGACGATATAAACTTTTTTTTTAAATAAGAACCATATTTTTTATTGTAAATTTTCAAGAAAACGCTATGTGTTGTCTTCTCTTATAAACGTATAAAATAGTAAATTTGAGTTCAGCAGAACCAGTTTTGCGCTGTCAGCTTTCATATTAAAATGAATTGACCTGTTATTAAAATTAAAAGATGCCTAATATTATTTGTGTTATCAGAATAGTTTTTTACGATATTTCAATTTATAAGCAAGTTATGAGTAAAATTACTAATTAAAGTATAAAAATGTTAATAACTCACTTAAAAATTGAAATGATGAAAAAATTAAATTAAAATAAAAAGATAGAAAAGATAGATAATGTACCTAGGGTACTATAGTAAGTTATTAATAATTGATAAATTCATTCTAGTGTTAAAAATAACAACACACACAATTGCTGTTATACATTTACATTGTTAGCGATGACAATCATGTGTGTGTATAACGTTTTTAAGTTATTAAACTTATGCACTGAGGTAAACAGTCTTTACTGATATATTTGTATTAATTAATAATTAAGTATTATAATTTTGAAACTATCATAGCTTCCATATGGGCATACGACATATCTTTTAAACTTTTATGAGTTAATGTTCTTAAATATTATTACATTAAGAAACACAGAAACAATTTATTCGATTTATTTACATATTTAAAAAAAAAAAAAAAAAACAATTTCCAGTAAAAAAGAACGGTTTTTATTTGAAAAATGAACATTGTTTCATCAAAAGATACTCCTTAAATAGCATAAAACGGTTGGAGTATTTTATGATACAGTCTTTAAATAACAATACTTCGAAATTCCAAAAATCTTTATCTGAATAAAAGTTATGCTGAACTAAGACTTTACACAGAACGATATTTTTAGGTGCAATGTTCAAAAAGTGTTAAAGAAAAACTTAAATTACAACACAATCCACAATTTGCTGAGACAGTAGAATTATCTTTTCAAACTGGACCAGAGCGATTTCAAAGTTACTCAGTTTTTTTCCGGTAAGTTACAATCAACTAACTAATATAATTGTTCATAGTTTAAGTTTAAAATGTATTAACTATTTAGTTAGCATATAATATAATGAATTATTCAATTCAATACTGCGTTCATTGCAAAATTAATATTTCTCAATGGTTAACTTTTCAAAAAATTACTTCCAATTATAATTGTGCTGAAATATATTCCGATGTATAATATATTTATTAATATGATTTACTAATTACTTAAACATGTTTATTTTGTTGTACAGGAATAGTGTAAATAGTTTTATAGTCATCACTCAGTTGGGATTTTGTTGTGTTTATATTCTCTTTGTATCAAAATCTATTCAACAGGTAAAGTAAATTTTTGTTTCCAAAATATGTTTTTTTTTTTTTTTTTTTTGTACCATATTTATACTTTATTTAAATGTGAAGATTTTGTATTATTCTTGAGAAAACGATAATATTATACGAATAAATACACGATAATTTATATTATATAATAACTAACTTTTAATATAATATTAATTTTTTTTGTGATCGATTTTCAACAATAAATCTGGAAAAATATAATCAATGATATATTTGAGCTTCATTAATTTATCACAATTCTGAACTATACAAATTTCTTCTAAGCAATTAAAATTATAAATAATTAAAACAAGGTAATATTAGTCTTTTAATGTTATTAAGCATCACATTGTAATATTTTCAAAATAATTAATAGTTGTTTATTTATAAAATAAAAATAAAAATATATATATATTGTGCAAATTTATATTCTACACAAAGTTAAATAAATTGTATCAAATTGCTTTTATTTTTACAAATATTCATACTTTAATATAATTTAATACTTTATTATCGTGATTTATGATTTGTATAATATTATTAATTAATTTTAATTATGTAAATAACACCAAAGTATAAACTACTTATATTTCAAATTTAAAATATTTAAAATATTCTTACAAAAAACGTATCAAGGTACTTAAATTTTTTAGCAATTTTTGAGCATATAAAATATTAAAAATTTGAATTTATCATAACTCGATTAAAAATTAAAAGTATCGTAGAAAATCAACTTAAACTTAGATGATATTATCCTTATTTAAATTAATTGACCTAATTAACTTTAATATTGAATATGACAATTCAAAATTGATTGTGTTGAATGAAAATGTAATGTTGTATTTTATAAACTCAGTGACAAGTGACAACATAGCAATGGAGTCTCTTAAGTCTTTTGATAATTTTCAAACTCATATTGTACTTAAATATTTATAATTTATATTAATAATAAAGATTTATCAGGGTTTATTATATTTAGTTAATCAAATAATTTATAATGAAGTAAAATATAGATTATAGATATGTGAGTGAATGACTGTTTTTTTCTTCTAAAATGTAGTACATAAATTTCATATTTGTTCAACTTTACTATTTTTTTTTTTTTTTTTTTTTTTATTAATAAATTAACATAATATTAAAGATACTCAAGATATAAATCATTAATACTATGTACTGACAATAGTTAAAAATAATTGTAATTTACGTTAATGTGTGTTTTTAGGTGTTGAGTTGGTATGATATATATTTAGATGTACACATCAGTATATTGATATCAATGGTGCCTATAATGATTTCATCGCTCATCAGAAGTTTAAAATTCATTGCTCGGTTGTCTGCAATAGCAAACATATGTATGCTCGTGGGTTTGCTTGTAATTATTTACTATTGTTTTACTGATTTACCACCAATATCTTCAAGATCCGCTATTGCTCATTGGACATCAATACCTCTATTTTTTGGTACCACTATTTTTTCATTCGAAGGAATTAGTTTGGTAAATTTTGTCCGCACATAATTTTATAGTAAATATTTACCTATTTTTTAAATGTATAACTGACGTTTATTATTATTATTTTTAGGTCTTACCGTTAGAGCAAGAAATGAAAAAACCAAAGAAATTTTCGACTCCATTCGGAGTATTGAACGTAGGCATGATAATTGTTACGAGTCTTATAGTTCTTACCGGTTTTATGGGATATTTAAAATTTGGAGATGCAGTGCGAGGCAGCCTTACTTTAAATTTACCAGAACAATTTTTGTAAATATTTTACACAATCTTTAAGTTATATTTATTGTACATATTTATAAGTTTAACATTGTATTTTACAGGTTATCTAAAGTTGTAATTTTGAGTATGATGTTTGGAATTATATGCACTTATACATTGCAGTTCTATGTACCAGTTGAAATCTTATGGCCAAAAGTCGAGCAAAAATTTGGCCCTTTCAAATCTCCTTTACTTTGGGAAATTGGCTTACGTGTATTATTGGTGCTCATTACTTGTTAGTAAATATTATTGATTATTTATTTAAATTTTCGAATGGGGTTCTTAATTATATTTTATACGAATTTAACATATTGAAATTGGCGCGAATAAGAATCATTACTAAAACTAATGTGCCAGATTTTATGAAAACGTCTAATTTACGTGCAGGTCTATATTTTATGATGTTTCATTCATTTTATGAATTTATGATGATTTTATGTCAACATATTTTTAGTCTCGTATCGAAATATTCTGTCTTATAGATATTTACTTATAAATTGTGAGTGCTTAACAGAACACGTGTATCCGATGCTTTCTTGTATTTTTGATTATTAGGTATAAGATTATAAAGATCTTATGACGTACAGTAATACGTAATATTCATAATGAATAGTTATATAGGTAATACTTATAATGTGCAGCTATGCAAGGTACATTTTAATGTTTGCTGAGAGTATCTTAAGTTCATAGAGGAACAAAAAAATAAATAAATAAATAAATAAATAATTTAATATTTTAAGGTCGTTAAATATTAATAAAACATTTGTTTTTGTAAAATGACAAAGTTTTATTTTCATTCTGCTGTTTGTAATGAAATATGGAAAATTTAAAATAGGTAAATGGCTTTAGTTCCCATAAATATTCTAAGGAGAAATACGACAACTGACAATTTTAGGTGTAGGATTATAATATCTTCATTTTCTAAAAATGGCATCAGCTGTAGCTTAAGTTGGCAATATTTCAAATTTCAATACTGTATATTAACTGGCAATATAGTATTTTTAGCGAATCTAGACTAGTGTTTTTAAACTCAGAAAAATTAAATGATTGTTGGGTTCACCTAATCTATAACATCCCTCCCATATGTAGATAATATGTAGGTAAGTAATAGGTAAATTCAAATTCAATGTAATAAGCTTAACGTCATTTTATTTATATATAAATATAGATTTAAAAATTGTCATGATACGGTATTTTCGGTTTCAACGGTAATTGCTGAATAATCAGTATTTTTAAGGCGGATTTTTTTTTCACAACTATTATCTACTATAATAATGTTTATGAGCACTAGGTACAATCCACACGGTAGCACTCAAGTCCTTAGATTCGAATAACCTAATAAACAGGGCTCGGAAATTATAGCACTAAAAAATGTACATTTTTAGTGTTTTAATATGCATTTAGAAACACAAAAAATAGCGCTAAAAACTGGTAAATATACAAAATAAAATTGTTAAGCAAATTTAAAAACAAATTTTTCATAACGGAATTTTTAGATTTTTTTAATTTTATATTTTTATCTATAGAACATGACAGTAGGTGTTTAGGAACCATAAACATTTGGTCTAACTCTGGAACGTAAATACGACGAATCAGATAATCGCAGTACAATGTGTTTGGAAATTAATAGAATAAATAGTTCGACGTGATCGGCAATAACAATCGATAAAACGTACCTACTATTTAAAAAATTAAAATACGCATTTTCGTTAATATAATATTCGTACACTTTATCGGAGTTGTATTTTTTATTTTCCCTTACCGTACAAACATTATGCCTATAGCTATTACTTAAGACTATATAGACTAGCAAAACAGCTGCGGAGACCGTGGATATTATGCACAAATTAGCGAAATAAGATCTTTCACTCGACATCGGAAAAGTGCGAGTTAATTATTATTAGTTTCGACGTTCTACGCACGACGTACCGAAAAACATAAATAAATAAATAAATATGGGTGCGTTTTGCTAGGACTTCCGAGCCCCGTGCAGCTGCTAATCAACAATAATTATAACTAGGGTCCGGAACTCGATGCATTGCATCTTTTTTTCTAATGCGTTTATACAGAAATGTGATTTATGTTATGTAAAACTCAGCGTAATCATATTTTTTAATTTGCATTTTTCGGTAATTTTTGGTTATACGGTTATATTTTACTGATTTTGATGCATTTTTTCATTCTTGTATATAAGTATTTTTTAAATTTTCTTTTAAATTATCACGACAAAACTAAACATCTGTAAAAACTAACATATTGTACAGCACAATTTTTCAATTGTTTTTCTAAAAATATCGATTTATTTTTCATAACTATTTTGTATTGCTGACATTATTTCTTATTCCCGTTTTAAATTTTATCTAGACCCCGTAGTCTGTAATAAACACATATTTCACGTACGAAAATATTAGCATTGTTTAAATTCGAACGAATAGAATAATAAACGAATGATGATTGAAAAATATTAATTTAAAAACGCCGATTTATTATCGAAAAAAAAAAAAAAAAAAGTAATATTTGAAAACGTCACGTGATTTTTCGGGTAATTTTTTAAGTCGTTTTAATACTTTTTTTCGGGCGCATTTTTTTTCAAAAAGATTTTTAGGCCATCAAGTTCCGGGCCCTAATCACAACGTAACGCTGCAAGGCGTACAATATCGATTATCAATATCGTATAATAATGGCGTTTGTGTGTGCGTTTTTATCGCGTGTTTCAGTCATCGCGGCCGACGTGATACCGCACCTGAGCCTGTTCATATCGATGATGGGAGCCGTGGCCAGCACGTTCCTGGCGCTCGTATTCCCGCCGCTGTGCCACATGGCCGTGACCAGCGCCGACAACGGCGGCAACGGGTACGGCCCGTTCAACTGGCGGCTGACGGTGAACTGCGTCACGCTGGCGCTGGGCGCGGTCGGGTTCGTGACGGGCACGTACGCGAGCGTCTACGAGGTATTCGGCGCGTTCCAGAAGGTGGTGGTCACCGCGGCCGCCGTCACCAACAGCACCGGCACCGGCAGCAACTTCACCGCACTGGAGGCGCACTGAAACGTCGTCGTCCGCCCCGTCCTCCACACGTCGGAGGCGGCTCCGCGTGAACGCGCAATAACGATATTATGACAACAATACAACGATATTGTAATAATAACGTTATCGTCGTCGTTTCCGGCCGGACGTATTCGTCGACTATGACGTGCACCACTCGCGCACCCCCATTCATCCCCCCCCACCAACCCGTACGATCGCCATACCTCGCGCACACGTTTATGTGTATATATGTATATATATATATATATATATATATATATATGTATGTGAGTGTGTGTATAGCATTGCATAAGTACCTAGGCACAACGTCGTTATGATGTGACATAACAATAATAATATTATGATGGAGACGTGCATGCGTTTAATATTCGTTAATACCTATGTAAAATGTATAATACAATTATTTATGTTTTAAATCATAATATATCATGTACAATAGTAATTCAGGGTCGGCCGTCGCGAACGAAATCGCGTTAGGGTTCGTGCGCATAAAAAACAGTTTTCCTTTATAAACGCACGTTTTAAAACTAGTTTTAAACGAGGAAAAAAATAAATACATTATATAGTATACGTGGATTTGTGGCGGTCAGTTCAAGAACATCACTAATACCGAATTCGTACGTATTGTAAGGACGATTTTTTTTTTTTTTTTTTACGACTTGTGTATACCTATAAATATCATGATAAAATTAACTGAATTAATTAGATTCCTAAATTTCAACATTAGGCTATAAATTAATTTGGATTAAAAACAAAACACGTTTGAATCAATTAGTAAAACATAATAAGAGAACACGTTTTTTTTTTTGTATTTTTGAATAAAATACTGTTTTTTTTTTTTTTTTATCCAACCCTGAATAGAATCGAAATCGTAGGGTATCGAATATCATATGGTCACGATTATTGTATCTTTATAATACTATTTTTTTTTTTATAAAATTATGATATATTATATAAGACCGGAACAGTGTAGATATAACGTCATATTAAATATAAATATAAACATTTTAATATTATTGTTTTTAAAATATTTTTGCTTCCCGTTGACCACCACCCCTACTCTTTGCTCAAAACAGTATCAATATGAAGTATTATGTAGGAAACTATTGTTCACTTAAAAATTGCAATACTTGATTTTTTCCTTTTTTTTATCCTGTTTTCTACAAGTAGTTTTTAAGTTATTACTATATTTTGTCATTACATACTCACGTTTTTATAGTAAAAAAACTATTTTTAATAAAGAATTATTCTAATACATATCAGATGCATAATATACGCAATCTAACTCAAGGTTTAAGTTATGTCTAAAAATTAGTCATCGATTATAAATATATAAAAATAAAGTTTATATAAATTTTTATTTTGAATTGTATTATTATTTATTTTATGTTATTGAATATGTTTAAAATGTGATTTAGCATGTGTTATAACTTTAATGTAGACTAAGTAGATTTATTTTATCCATAATTAATTATCCTTTTATATTATTATATATTGTTTAGAATTTATATTACTAGGTTATATTTTTTGATTTATTGAAAAAAAATATTGTATTGAATTATTAAATGAATCTGTTTTTTCCTTAAAATATCCTGAGTTGTAATCGTGTGTATAATTCAATGGCTAAAATTATTTTATCAATTAAACAAAAAATACGTTTAAGGACATGGATAAAAACTGAAATGAAAATTTTCTATATTATTTTACCAACACTTATTTTTGTGTTGATGAATAATATGTACATATAATAGAATAATTAGGAAATATAGGTAGTACCTATATATATTTGAGATTAAATTTATGAAGAAAATTGTATACAATAATTAATTCTATAATTTTTTGAATTATAAAAAAACTAAATTTAACAATTTAAGAATAAAATGTATCAATAAGTTACCAAATACCGGTGCATACAAGTTTGGTCTCTGACACTTTTAGATTTGAAATTTTAAGATTTTAAAAAATGAGTTTTCTACAAAGTTCTTTTTATTTTTCATTAAAAATAGTATTTATTAGTTTTAATATACTCGTAGTTTTTAAAATATTTTGCCATTTTATTCGTGTTATTTATAAATATTTAAATATTTTATAAGCTTTTTAATTTTAAATTTTTACGAAATTCGTCAAAATCACGAACATTAGCAAATTATTTTGAAGATAAAATGTTCAGTTTTTAAATCCAATACTTACAAATTAATTTAACTAATTATAAGTGTATATTGCATGTTTAAAAATATTCAATTTAGATAAATGTTTAAATTAACATTTTTTTTTTTTATTTGACTTATAACTTCGTATTAGGATTTAATAATATTGTAATAAGTATTTTCAACTTTACTAACCATATTTATACTTTCCAGTAGTTCACTATTAAATTCTTCCAAACTTGTAACCCAAGGATTTTAGTAAGTTGTATTTTCACTGTATCTTAAATAATTTTTTTTTTTTTGGACATTTTAAGTTCTAATTTTAACGAAATTGGATATTTAAATAAAAATTAGTTCTAAAATGTATTAATACATAAAAAATACAGGTATAAAAAGATAAAATAACATTTTTTTTATTGTTACTACCTGTATAAATAGTTATGAAAACATTTTCAATGTGCACACTTAAACTTTTTTCTGTGAGTTTTCTCGTAAAAAAAAAAATATCGTTATTTCTTATTCATATCGAATTGTATAGCCTCAAAAAAATAGGAAAATGTATAAATCCACATTCTAATTATTTTAAATTTTATAGGGTATTTAAGAGACTTGGTGTGCGTTAAAATAAATGTTAATATATTTTCATTTGTCATTAGTATGTTATCAGTAGTATTTTAATTATGTAAATGTAACAAGATTTTAATTTTTCTAAACATTTATATTTAATTGTTTTAATTGCAAACAAATTATTCTACATATTTACCATATATATACATATATGTTCTGACGATTTTCATACATATTGTAGGTACTCCATAATTTGATCATGTCGGTTATTAATCATCATTGGCTTCATTATTTTAAAATTAATTAAAGCTATTAGATCTCAATTCTGTGTAGAAAACACTGTATGGTGTGTATATATGATATTATGTATCATGTACTAGTATTAGAATAAATTTATGTAATATCATGTATAAATATTATCGAATCACAAAGTTTTCATCAACTCCACGTATAATTTGAATTTGATAGTATTGTATAGGTACCAACCGTTTCTGAGTTTTTCGATTAAAGATAAATAATATGTAGTCAAACTAGTTACACATGGTAAAACGTTATTCATATCATACAAGTATATGATAATAAAATTGTTCACCTGAATGACGTATAGTGTGTGATTGTACATAATAAGAGTATATAATTTAAAGGCGAGAAAAAAATGACTGCCTTTCAGTAGTCACGTGTATGATGGATTTATCAAATTTTTTGCACACGTGTTCAAAATGTGTCGATCAAAGGTATTTAACTATCAACAAATTGGAAAAAAATATTTATTTTTCTCATGCCAAATTACACTGCAAATACATGCTTAAAGTTGAATAATTAGTTGAAAATATTAATAGTTTAAATTAAATATCGCTATCTCATTTAATATTTAAAACCTTTATATCATTGTAAATACTTAATAGAAAAAACATTGTGCTTTAAATTATTATTATTTATTATTTTATACCTACAAATTATATTATGGAGTTGATGAAATCATTTTATCCATAGTAATAACTGATTGTTAAATAAACTAATCTTTTAAATAATTTTTTGTTGAAATTCAATATTGTATAAGTTTTAGTATTTAACAATAAAGGAACTAGGTGATTATGTGGTATTGGTATAAGTAGATTTATGAATTTCGAGATAAAATAACATTTAAAAAGCATCTAACCATTAAATCATTTAATATATTTTTATTATTATTTTGCACATTATTGATTTATTGTGTACCTAACTAATATTATTTTTTTACCAAATTAGCTAAACGAATCGTAAAAATAATGCGACGTAAGCAAATATAATATCTGCAGTCAAAAAGTTTTATACCTAATATGTTACATAAATCATTTAAGTGGATACTAATACAATAGAACATTATAGAAATGTCACTGGATTAACTGATTGGACTGTTGTATCTCTAGGCTCCAGAGTTCCGAGCATAGCGTTTATAACTCTAAAAGATATAGAAACATATCTGTAAGACAGTAACCTAATAAGATGTTGGCATTATGTATGGTGCATTGGTGCATTTTTCTCAGTAACGAAATACCTCACAATCCATTAGCTAATACTAAGACTATGTGTGCTGTAAATACATAAAGTAGAGTCATTATATTCCGGTACCCTCATAAATCTGGCATATTTTTACTACATTCAACAACAATTTTTTTTATTTTTGAGTTATAGTTTTAATAATTCAGTGTAAATAATCAACAGGTAGTATCATCATTGGGTGGCTTCTTCCTTTACATTTTTTTTTTTCATATTTTTCATTCTGTAACAAATATTCTTATTCTACCTTAGGGCACAGATTGTATATACGTATTATACACTATATAACGTGTAATAATAATAATAAAAAAAAAAATAAATAAAAATAATTCAATGTAATTGAATTGTATTATTGAAAATAACATCGTTGAAGATGCAAAAAAAAAAAAAATGATTAACTTATCGGTGATATCAAGTGCACTTAAACACAAGTGTAATGAAAATAAATTAATTTTAATTTTTACTTGATTGTCGTTTAAATTCTAGTTTTATCGCTAATCCGTCAGCACATGTACAAGATTCTATTGTATTAAACTAGATATGGCTAATAAATCAATAACTAAGGTGATAGTATTATAAGTCATTGATAGATTTTTGTAGGTTACTACTTCCTTTGAAATATAATTATTTATAAGTTTGTAACTAAGTTTGAATACATCGTATTTAATCAAAACACTCAGAAACGGTTAATACCTATATGATTATATACGTTATACGAAGTGGTAATAACTTTAATGTGAAAAACTCATTACTTTAAAAAACACTATATTTTTTTTTTTTTTTTTACATAATATTAGTGATTAAAGTCGTTTCAAAATATTATTTTTGGAAAAAAATTGTTCATTTTTTTATCATTATTATTTTGAGATTTTCTTTTTTAAATAACAACATATGTTTTTAATTTAAAATGTTGATATTCAATATTATTTTAAATATTTCGATCTATAAAGATCTAATCTGAACAAATAGTCTATTAGTTATAAGTATTTGAAGTTTAAAGTTTATATGAGCGAAGTATAGTAGATCAACATTTTTCGGGGCATACCTGCAACACTCCAGTCCGCCGATCAAAACTTTGAAATTCGAATACTATTATAGCTCATATACTACCTGTCCGACATTTGGTTTTTGAACATAGGAGTAGGTTCATTAAAAAATATTCTGTTTTAGAATACAGAATTAAAAATGTTACAATGTATTGTTACAATGATTTATATTTATACCATTATATATCAACTCATATAACTTAAAATGTAATAATATCTTTCATTATACATATACCGTTAAACAGTCAAAATAGATTCTTATAGTACCTATAAATATATAATATCTTAAAATAAATCAAAAATGTCATTGAGCGTAATAAAATTTATAATAATTTAATACGTATACGTAAAAGCCTTAAATTCTCGTGAATAATGTTTTCAAATTATAACAAAATAATTAACATTTTTTTTTACTTTATCGATAAAGCATCAATTATATACAAAAGTTATTAGCTTTACAGGGTTATTGCATTTTTACATTACCTATATTATATGTTATTATACAAATCGATTTTTTAAAATATGAAGTTATATTTGGATAGTTTGAAAATGATCCGAGTACTTCATACAGGTTGTCAGGGATGATGAAGTCTTTTCTCGTTTTTTTGGAATTCGGGTAGTAGACAATGGCGTGTTTGATGGAGGTTTGTATTACATGTTGGACATAAGGGTGAATTTGTTTTTGCCATAAGGTGCCCATATGTGAGTTTATCGTGACCAATTCATAGTCGATTAGAGAGAACTTAATTTTTTTCTGTTTATTTCAGCCAGAGTTCAACAGAGTGTTTGATTTCTCTTAATTTATTGTCTATGGTCGTGAGCCATTTTGAGCTCTAAAAATCAATGCAGTAATTGTTTATATTTCTTTTTATGTCAACAAGTCAAGAAAAAAGAATTATTTCACTGTTGAGACTAATATTCTCACTTCTAGCTGCTTTGTCTGTTTTTTCGTTTCCCTTTATATTGCAATGACCTGGGGTTCGTATGAATCTATTGTCTTTGTTTGATTTAAAAAG